TCATTGCCAGCGCCACTGCTCAAACTCCTGATCTCAGCCTCTCAACTCTTAGGGTAATTCCTAGGACCCCATCACTCTTCTCTCTGCCATCTTCAGGCTTTTGCTCACCATGTCTGTATGTAGATCCACCCTGTAAACTCCTTCAAGAACTTTATCTTGAGTATTCTGCTCCTGTCCTATTCCTTTCCTTCCTTTATCTGGCATATTCCTTGTGATATTATACCTGCCCCTATCCCTAATACCATTCTCTTTAGTAATCTTTGCAATTTGATTTCTAACAACCTATTCAATGAGAAATGCTCAGTGCAAGGGTGCCGGGTGACTCTCTTCTAATAATATTCTGCAGCATTTCCTCCCTTCATTTTTTTCACATTTAAATTCATATAATGCAATGCATGAATTCATAAAACGCTTCCTCCTATCATGTCCATGAAACAATAGCATTCCACCTCCCGTCCATGACTATGTGAATCCATTAATATTGTATTAAGACTTTTACTCTTTTTTTACTTCCTCAAATCTACATATCCCCATGCCTTCCAATATCACCAATTATGGTTCTCAAGTTAGTCAATCAACATTCTTCCTGATCAGTCTCCAGCTTATTGTCAAATCCAGCATCCATTTACTTGTCTTCAGATTCTTTGCCATTGTCATTCCCATCTCTAAGCCTTGACTTATATATGTAGTATAGCCCATGGAGTGCCTTCCTCTGTGCCAATTTAAATCCAATGCACTCATCCTTCAAGGTCAGCTAAAGTCCTACTTCTTCTACCAGGCCTTTGCCAAGCATTGCTGTACATTAAAGACTTTGTCTAAAGCCACATTAGACTTGTGGTCTGCTTGACAAAATGGTACCTCCTAAACATCTCTAATTACCTCAAATATGTAGGCTTTGTTTTATCAACTATCCCTTTGAAAGCATGAACACAAGTTTTTATTCCCTGACTGCCCAGCAAGGTGCTGGGCATATAGAAGTTGCTTCATGAACTTGTTTAATGGCTTAATTCTAAACAAATAATATTAAATAAATAATGATAGTAATATCATGTCACTGATAATTCTACTCTGAGTGAAACTATGATTTTTATAGGACTACTTAGAAGGCTACAGGCAGAACGGCCATCAAAAAGTTTACAAATAATAAATGCTGGAGAGGGTGTAGAGAGGAAGGAACCCTCCTACACTGTTGGTGGGAATGTCAATTGGTACAGCCACTATATAGGGAGAACAGTATGGAGGTTCCTTAAATAACTAAAAACAGAGCTACCATATGATCCTGCAGTCCCAATCCTGGGCATATATCCAGAGAAAAACATAATTCAGAAAGATACATGCACCCCAATCTTCATAGCAGCACTATTTACAATAGCCAAGACATGGAAGCAACCTAAGTGTCCAGCAACAGATGAATGGATAAAGAAGATGTGGTATATATACACAATGGAATATTAGCCATAAAAAAGAATGGGATAATGCCATTTGCAGCAGCATGGATGGACCTAGAGATTATCATACTAAGTGAAGTAAGCCAGATTGAGAAAGACAAATATCATATGATATTGCTTATATGTGGCATCTAAAAAAAACGATATAAATGAACTTCTTTAAAAAAAAAGAAAGACTCACAGACACAGAAAACAAACTTATGGTTACCAAAGGAGAAAGGGGAGAGGCACAAATTAGGAGTTTGAGGTTAAAATATACACACTACTAAATATAAAATAGATAACCAACAAGGACCTACTGTACAGCAAAGAGAACTATACTCAGTATCTCGTAATAACCTATAATGGAAGAGAATGTATAAAAGTTATATATATATATATAATATTTATATATATAAAACCAAATCACTTTGCTGTATACCTGAAACTAACACGACATTGTAAATCAATTATATTTCAATAAAAATTTTTTTAAAAGAAAAAGAAGGCTATAGGCAGAATGACATAGTGGTTAAGAGTATAAGCCCAGACTGCCTGGGTTCAAATCCTGCCTGTATCACCTATTGGCTAGGTGACCTTGGGAAGGTTAATTAACATCTTTGTGCCTTAATTTTCCTCCCTGAAAATAGGGGAACATAACAGTATTTACCTCATGGAGTCATTATGAAGATCAAATGAGTTATGTTGGATACTTAAAACAATTTCTGGCATGTAGAAATTGTTCCATGAATGTCAGCTATTATTAAATGCTTATCACACATAAAATGATAGTATCTCAGAGCTAAAACAACCTTCACTTTATAAGTGAATGAGTTGAGGAATAAAGGTAAAATGATTGGCTCAAGGTCATATGGCTATTTAGAAACAAAATCAGGAAACCAGCTCTCCTGACTTCTATTCAGTGTCTGTTAGTTTCCTCCCCAAGGGTTCCTTATCTAAACATGGAACTGAATTACAGAAGTTTAGAGTTGAAAGTGACATTCAAGGCTCTCTAGTTCATAATGCATAATCACTTGTCACAAACCTTTCATCTTTGCTGACAGCACCATATTACAGATTCTTAATCATCCAGACAAAAGATCTTAATACCATGTCTCCTAAGTTAAGAAACACATGAGGGATAGGAATGGATGCCAAGATCAGGTCCCCGGAGTCCAGATGACCATCACTAGATGAAGCCATTTTCAAAGTCTATATTTTGAAAAATAAGATTTCTTTCTCAGGGAAAACACTGTCTGGAATACTCATTATAAAGCTGTAATTCAGGTCATCCCACACATACATGAATGTTTTGCAGATAGCATGCTTCCTGGTAGGAATCTGAAATTATTTTGATGAACTTTGAATAATACTCTCTAGCAGCCAGAAAAAAGGTGCAGGGGCATACCAACTACCCATACCAGGCATAATTCCTGAAGGTTTCAGCTTTCTCTGTGGTTCTCTGGAATAATATTCAGCCTGGTTGTGCAATCAACTGGCCTAGGGTTTTAAAATTCAATCTAGAAAACACAGACTCTCAAGAGGAATTGCAACAATAAAAGATTGCTATTAAACAGGCACTAATAAACCTGTGTGTAAGGATTCTCTCATCAGAAGCATTAGCATGCTATTCTCTGTCTCAACTCAAAGCTAGGATATTTAATTTCTCTTTAATGCAAATGAAACTGTTGTATGTAACAGCAGCAATAATAGAGAAGGGTAAACTGAGTAATTATGCTGTGTGTCCGCAAAGAATGTGCATCCACTTTCACCTCCCTCCCTCCTATAAACAAGACTCAAGTAATCTACATTCTCTGTGTATGATTATTTAAAATGTCTAATTGTAGTATATGGACTCTGAGCTTTATGGCTTGGGATTTTAATCCTCTAAACAGGGAGGTCCAATTACTTGAATCTGGATGTTGAATTACCTGCTTTATTCTGAAGACTGAACAGACAGACTCCATTGATCCCACAGAGGATGTATCATTCCTACTCTCTGCTTCCATAGTATTTTATTTTTATCTCTAACTTTACTCATGATAATCTAACTTGTTACACCTAATCCTTTGTCTCCTTTGTAGAGTATAAACTCCTGAGGAGAGAAGTCATATCTTATTTATCTCTGTATTCTCCCAGAGCCTTACAGTGTTTTGGACATAGTAGCTGCTCAATAAATATTTTGACATTTAATTTTAATGGTACATATGTATGCATTTCCCAGTTTAAAGTATTGTTAAAGGAATGTCACCTTTGACATAACTTCCCTACCCATTTCTGAGAACTCTTGCCTTTGAAACATGAAAATGAACTTTAGCAGATTCATACTGTAATTTAGATGGCTATGTAAACAGTAAGGGAGTGCTTAGCAATTACTTGTTCAATTGTAATTTTATGAAAACTTGCAGAGATTTCTTTTGAGTTTTCAGTAGTTTAAAGGGACCCAGCCATCTCAGAGGAACAGGAAGGAAAGATCTCAGAGGAGTGACTGGGAGGGTATCCCAGAAAGTTTACTTTGCCTTCTAGAAAGAAGCCTGACATCCAGGTGCTAATTTCAAGACCCAGAGAGCATGTTACGATCATGGCATTCCCAAGGCCTATCTTTCCTCTTTTTCCTCCATTTTTTCTGAGAAATTGTCAGCTTGATGTTCAAGAAACATGTAGTTCATGCCCACTAGGCCCACAGACACGACTGGTGACATGATTTGCAGGGCCCAGTTGAAATAAAAAATGCAGGGCCCTTTGTTCAAAAATTATTAAGAATTTCAAGACAATGACACCAGAACAAGTGTGAGCTCATCTAAGTATAGGGCCCTGTGTGACTGCAGAGGTCTCACATCTATGAAGCCAGCCCTGTTCTGTCTTCAAAGAACTTCTGGTACAATGAAAGGCAAAAGGTTTGTATCAGATAGAAGCTACGATTCAAGTATGTACAAGATGCTACAGGAACCCAGAAGTTCCTAACTTTGGAAAATTGTCCCAGGGAGGTGACAGTTAAGCTCATTTCTGAGGGAGCAGTGCCAGGGAAGAACAATATTCCAGACTGAAGAACGGCAGAATTCACTTGACAAACTTCAGGAAACTTGTTACTTTTAGGAAGAGTGTAACGAGCAAATATGAAGGTGACTAATTGAGATTGAGAGTGGCAAGAAGCAGAAGCCAAATATATGGGGAAAAGGGGTCAAACAATTACAGAGTGCCTACTATATGCCAAGTTCTTTACCTTTATGTCATAATTTTAAACACAACAATCTTGTGAATAAACTTGTCATGCCTGGTTTACAAATGGGTTATTTAGGCCCAGGGTAGTAACAGTCAAAGTGCTTGGTACACATGGCATCCAATAAGTACTTGAGGAGTTACTGGCGGGTTGTTTGACATTGCCCAGGACTCTTAAACCCCAGGCCAAACTGATGCTAAGCGTGTTGTTAACCCCTTCAGTGGCCCTTCCCGCCTTGCACCTCTCCCAGTCCCCAAAGTACCCTTCCTTCCCTCGCGCCCCGCCCCCGCGTTTCCACGTGCCGGAAAGTAGGCAGCAAAAGTACTTCCGGGATAGCAAAGGTCGGCCCCGGCAAGATGGCGGCGCCCTTGGAGCTCAGGTGCTGGGGAGGCGGCTGGGGGCTCCCGTCGGTGCACAGCGAGTCCCTGGTGGTGATGGTGAGGCCGCCTCGCGGGCCAGGGCGCGGGAAAGAAGGGGCGGGGCCAGAGACGCGAGGCTGGCTGGTTCGGGTCCCGGCGGCTGGGGTTGGTTCCCACCGCGCTCGGGCCCGGCCGGCCGGGGCGCTGCTCGCTGCACCGCCCGGGGCTCCCTCCCGTCCAACGAGTTACAGCCTACCCTGTGGCCCCGCCGAATCCTGGAGGAGAAGTCATGGCTTCTCCGCTTGGCTCCGAGTTTTCTCAGCCTTGCAAAGCCGTCTGTGCAGTGGAATGAAAGCCCAAAGCAGTAGGCGCGCGCTCCCCGCTCTGCATCCCTCAAACGTTTTGGGGGAAAAAAGTCCTCGAAATCTTGGTAGCGCGCAACCCCGGCTAGAAGTAGCGGGAGGGACGCAGCCCCCGAGTCAGGCGTTTCTGCCTTCTGGGGACCCGGCTTTGAAGTAAAGCTGCTCTGCAGATTTGCATTACGTATTCAGTCTAAAATGTTTTATTGCAAACTCTCTTTCAGGCTTACGCCAAGTTTTCTGGTGCACCCCTGAAAGTCAATGTCATAGATAACACCTGGAGAGGTTCAAGAGGTACAGTGTAAACTTTTAAACACCCATTTCTGCCCTCTGTAAGCACCCTCCCCCCTCTTATTTAAAGCTAGGGGGCTTGTAGCCATGGAGTACCTTGGGGTTTTAGTTCTTACCACGACCTTAGCTGTGTGTTGCTTATGTTTTGATCATTCTGAGTAATACTTCAAAGGAGAAGCCAAATCAGTGGAAATTATGAGAAATGAAAATGCTCTCCAAAACTTTTGTGTGTGTGTGTGAAATTGCAAAAACCTAAGATGAGTTACTCATTTTTTTCTTCTCCAAATGTGACTGGCATAGTTTTTAGGGTATTGGAGCCTCTTCAGAGGATATCGAGTCTCTTCCTTACATGTAAACTGTGTTGTGATTATAGGAGATGTACCAGTTTTGACAACTGAAGACAGTATTGTTTCTCAGCCGGCAAAAATACTAAACTTTTTAAGAAAACAGGTGGGTTCCTTCTGGAGAAATAGATTCTTGATCCCTGCATGTTGCTTCCAAAGAAAGTGCATTAAAAAATTTTTTTTTAGAATTCTTTTTTGGAGATACATAGGGCTTGAAATAAGAATAGATTTGAGAGTCACTGCTCTAAATCATGAGTTGTACTGTGATTCAAAAGGCATATAGTGAGTTATAGTCAATTTATATTTTCATGCACTTTGCTTGGTTTTTATTGAAGCTTAGGTGTAAGTAGATTCAATTTAACCATTTTCACTATTATACTTATTGATATGATTGTAAATTTAGTTCCATAATTGCTACACATTTTGTGCTTGGTGTGAGGTCTGAGTTCCCATCAACTAGCAACTATTTATTTTTTTAAAAGCACTTAAACTAATAGTTGCAGTTAAATGTTTCATGAAATAATGTATCCAAAATATCTGAACATGCCAAGATTTATATATCTAAAATGTTTAAACTGTAACAGTTTACATAAATGTAAAAGTTATCATTGATTTTGCCAATAGTTTAAAAGAAGAAGTCCTATATCAACAAAATTTAGAACTTTTCTCAATTGGAAGGTTTTCTCTTTTCAAGGGGAAAATGCTACTAATTAGAACTTTTTCCTTATTGTTAATAAGAATAATAATAGCCTCTATTAATTTTGTACTACATGTCATGCACTAAACTCAACTAGGTCATTAACAATCATTGAAATAATAGTTAATAATAAATAAACACCTAAAACTAACATTTATTGACCTTAACGTGTGCATGATGCTGTGCTGAGAACTTTATTTGCATTAAGCAGCATCTGTCACTGAATTTGTATTTCTCTTTTCCCCTTTTAATATGTTTGCCATTTTTGAGGAAGAATAGGAGTCCTAATTTATTTAGTTTCACTGTTTTGGGATGTTCTTGACTTATGAGGTTTTTGGTTTTTTATTTTTTAATAGAAATATAATGCCGATTATGAACTGTCAGCAAAACAAGGGGCAGATACACTAGCTTACATTGCTCTCCTCGAAGAGAAGCTTCTTCCTGCAGTGGTGAGCACTGGTGAATATTACAGTATTTTAGTGACTTACTGAAAATGTACTTAGTCGATTTAGAAGAAAAATAATGGAAAAGGCTTAAGAGAAGAAATTTCATTTATGTATCAGTCTTGATTCTTCCATGTAACTGCAGAACTGGGTTGATTCTGTTAGACGTTCAACTAGTGGATGAAACAACAAAGTGAAAGATAATATCATTTTGGAAATAAAGATTCTCTGTGAAAGATTGGAGTTTGTCCATGTATAGAGTTGGGCCAACTATAATTCATTCATTCAACAAATATTCATTGAGCACCTACTATGTTCCAGGCCTTATTCTGGGTGCTTGGGTTAGAGCAATCAACAAAACTCACACATTTAAAAACATTGATTTATCCTTGAGTCATCCTAACTGGAAAATTTGTATGGAGTCAACTTCATTCAGAGATATTTATGAAAAACTTTCACATTGATTGAGGATCTTCCTTTTAGTAAAAGAATATCTTTGTAGTGTTTTTTCCCTCCTTTTGCAGCTTCACACATTCTGGGTTGAGAGTGACAATTACTTTACTGTGACAAAGCCATGGTTTGCTTCACGAATGCCTTTTCCCTTGAGTTTGATCCTGCCTGGAAGAATGTCTAAGGGAGCACTGAATAGGATTCTCCTGACCAGGGGAGAGCCTCCCCTCTACCACCTCCGAGATGTAGAAGCTCAGGTATGATTGGAATTACCTTCAGAGCAAGGGCCCTCCAGAGGAGGGACAAGAGAAGGAGCAGGGATGAACTTATCTATAGATGCCAGTCTGAAAAGGAGTTCTCAAAGTATCTTTCCTACCTTTGAGATGTAATCTCATCCTTATTAGATATACAGAGATGCCAAGGAGTGCCTAAATCTTCTGTCAAACAGACTGGGAACATCTCAGTTTTTCTTTGGAGATACGTGAGTGCATTCCCTTAAAAACCATTTTGATGTTTTGTTTGCATGTATTCAGTGAGCAGTTATTTAAAGAAAGTTCCTTTGCCTGGTCCTCCCACCCCATCCCCAATGAGTTTTTCACTTAAAAAAAATATTTAATGGATTTTTACTATAGGAAACTTTTTCTGTTGCGGTAATCTTACATTGACTTAATATGCTACATATGTGAATTTGAAACTTCTAAGACTATTCCCACCATGTCTCCAGTCTTTATATAACACTTATGAGTAAAAATGAATCTTTAATTTACAACTTAATTTTCTTCTAAATAAAATGGGTAGAGTATTTTTTAAAAGCTACAACTGAGTAAAACCCTAGCTGCATCATTTCTATAAGCCAGAATGGGTAGTAAACCTTTTAAAAGACCGTATTGTATACTTCAGAATTGACAAATGTATTTGAGAAAAAGTGTTTTTTTTTAACATAATCCCAAATTAATATTTTCTATGTGCTTTTAAAAAATCCTTAATTTATTTTTAGGCCTTCTACTTTGGATGCCTATGTGTTTGGTTTTCTCGCACCTCTTTATAAAGTACGCTTTCCTAAAGTTCAGTTACAAGAACATTTGAAACAGCTCTCCAACCTGTGTCGCTTTTGTGATGACATCCTAAACAGTTATTTTAGGCTTAGTCTTGGAGGTAAGCTGGTTCCTCTTCAGCTAATCTTTGTTTGCATAGAATACTTGCATATTCTCCTAAGGATGTATAAGCCAAATTCATTACTTATTAAAGAAGTTTGTATATTGTCTTTAAATGCTGGTTTATAGAACTTCAGAAAGTTGCATTTTTCCAACTTATTTTTACTCCCATGTGTTAGCTCTTCTTTAAATAGAGAAATATATATTTGCCGTTTGTCTGTTCTGGATTTTATACAGTTCTTGCTTCTTGTTCTTTAAATATTGCTCCTTTGAAGTGGGTCATTTTCTTCTAAAAGTTAACCACAGGTATTTATTGTGTCCCTGCCAAAAGATAGCATTTATCCTAATGCAAACGGGCAGTTACTTTAACTGTTGCTTCTAGCATTTTCCTGTGTGAACAGAAATGAGCAGCAGATTGATTTCGGTGAGGTGCACTCCCATGATTCCACTACTTCAAACTGATTACATCAGACTGGAGGCATAGTAAACAGAGGGCACCTGTCACTTAGGCTCTGATTCTTCGAGAGTGTTGGGCCTTGTGCTTAAGTGATTGGGACACACAATTTGTATGGGGAGAGTTGGCCAGAATTGTCCTTTTAAGGAATAGAAGTCATAAGGATCGTTGGTTTAGGGACAGTTTACTTTTTATAGTGGGTTATGTGTTTTGTATGTAATACACTTGTATATAACAAGGGAGGGGTTAGTTAGTTTGGGGGTCATGAAACTGAATAACTTTCAACCTTGTTACTTGGGAGCAGTGGTTAGCAAACCTGACTACAGAACAAATACAAAATCTTGGGTCCTATACCAGATTCACTGAATTAGAATCCCTTAGGGATGGATCCCAGGAATCTGTATTTTTTAAAGTTCCTCCAAGTACTTTGGATGCTTTATGGGTAACTGTTTGGGCCTTAGAAAGCTGTTCAAATAGTTGTAACTAAAGACCTATGTGAAATGGGGGGGAAGATACAAGTCATATTTGAGAAGGAAATGAGGACTGTTGTGCTCTAATGACCTTGGCTATCTGCATAATGCTTGGCTAACAGGGTCTCCTTAAGGACAAATTTAGTCCTTTAGCTTAGGGTTTGGTTTTGGAGCATTACTCTCCCTCTTAAGTTTGCCTTTGAACCCAGAATGGTTTTTCACTTTGCCTTTTTTGGAGGGTGTGGTGGGCAATGGGGCACTTAGGAGGGTTGGATAGACTCAATATTCTTTGAATCTAAACAGCTTGTAAGGCTTTCAGAATTTCCTCTTTCTGATTTCTGTCCTGGCTTCTTAGGCATCTCTCCTGCTGGACAAGAAACGGTAGATGCAAATCTGCAGAAACTCACACAACTTGTAAATAAGGAATCCAACTTGATTGAAAAGGTCAAGTTTACTTCAATTGTTATTTTATAGTAGTTTAGTATTTTCCTTTCTGCAATTAATATTGTTTTGGGTTATGCATTAACTTTACCTTTTCAGTTTTTCTTTTTTTTTAAGTTTATTTTTTCAGAAAGCTGTTTAAACATACATTTACTAAAGCTGTACAAAATACAGTGTTTTGAAGCCAGTAATGGCCTGATTGCTATGGGGAAAGATCTGATAATGGTATTGGATTTACTTTTACCACCCAATTAGTAGTACTTTTCAAGTTAGGAGACCCAAAAGCCTGGCTTCAAAAAAGGAGAGAGACAAACAAGAAAACACTCCTTGCTTGCTTGTCTGCTTCTTTCTGTCTCTGAGGGTTATCGTTTCTTGAGATTGTAAGCACCTGTGCTTATCCTGTCTTGCTAAAAGCACTATGGTGTTTTTTTCTTTCTTCCACGTAAATCGTTTTATTTTGTCTCCTTCCTATCCTCTGTTCTAAACGTTGTCTACAATTTTTGCCAGTGTGGATATTCTGCCACTTCGGGAGTATGCATTTGTTGAGAGAGATATTGAGGAATTGGGTAGGGGAGGGAGCCAACAATGGAAATTTCAAGGGTGATTCTAATTGGAAAAATACAAGGGAGTTATGCATTTTTTTCCTCAAATGTTTGATAAACTTGCTTTTTTTTCTTATGCAAATGCATAATGCTTTATTCTTTCACAAACTAATAGGTCATTGTGGCTTAATAACACTGGCTAGAGGATTTGGGGGATTGAGTAACAGGCACTGTGTTATATGAGCTTTATATGAGTTATCTCATTTAATCTTCACAGCAGCTCTGTGTGTGCAGGTACTTTGTCATTCCCATTTTACAGATGAGATACTGAAGCTTCGAGAGTAGCTTATAACATCACCTGCCCGAGGCCTTTCAGCTGGCAAGAGGTAGAGAGGGAATTTGAACCCTAGAAATTGGATTCCAGCATGGGCTTTGCAGTTAGTCAGTCATCTAACTCATGAATGAAAGTATGTATCCATTACTACTGTTGGTAATAGCCAGATTTATAGCTGCCACTCTCTGGAATGACCATTTTATTTCTTTTTATGGTATCGCATGTACCTCTTATTAAAGTTTGGGTAAGCTGAATGAAAGCCAAGTTTGTCTTAATTCATAGCCTAACCCAGCAAATCTCATGAGAGGAAATACACTGAGAGTTAAGTGTGGATAATGGAAAGATTACTCAGACTGTTTTAGATACTTTTCTGCTAGATGAAGGCTGTCCAGTATAGCTTCCATTTCTATCTGTGGCAAATTCATTAGACATGTGAAGGGAACCATGAAATACCTACATATGCAGAAAGTGAAGCCGGGAGGCCCTGTCACCACTTGGTACAGTTCCATTTTGGCATCATCAATATATGAGAGTTTCCTGACCCTATATCAGCACCTCTCTCCACCCCACTTCCCATCTGCTCTTCAGTACAGTTCACTGTTTGCTACAAGACATTAGAACAACAAATTCTATTGGCTACCACCATTCACCATTTAGACAGGAAATCTAGAGCTTAAAAAAAAGAAAGAGTTATGTTTGAGGAACTTAGTTCTTGCAAGGAAAAAAAAGACATCACAATTGATTCAGATAGTTCACTGGGAATACTTTTTCCCTCGGAAAATTAAGAGTTAATCTTTTATTCTTTTCCCTTTATTATGAACCCTATGTACCTCTGCTGAAACATTTCCCCTGTACTTTATAAAAGCATCTAGAGAAGATAAGAGAGAGTTTTGGGCTGCTTATATTCAGAACTCTAAAAAAGCCTACCTATCAAGTAGGTGATAAGATGCTATATTCTGTTGGTTTTGGGTCATTGATGGCAGCTGCTTTCAAGTCTTCTATGAAGCAGCTTAACACCAGGACCTTGCACTCTGGTTTTGGGGTACCCTGGTTAAAGGTAGTTTTCTAAGTAGTTTTCTAAGGTCTGACTCAGTTCTAAGTAACCCCTGTCCTAGTGTTTCCCGGGATGCTAACGTACTCCTTAGGGTAAGTCTGAAACTCTTGGACATTTTCTAAATATGTTCTTGATTTGTTTCTCTGGAATAGACTTAGAACTTTGCAGTGCCTCTGGATTAGGTCTAAAGAATTTATCCTTCTTTCTGTATCTTTTCTTAGCTTCTCTTGGTCTAAATAGTCATAGCCTTAAAGAGGTGATCTTTCTGAGTAGAGTACAGGTCATTTTTATTGAGGCAATGAGATATAGTTGAAAGAACAATAGTGTTAGAATAAAAAGACCTGTGTTCACATTTCAGCTCTGATGCCAGCTTTGCAACCTAATGCAAATCTGGTAACCTTTCTGAGCTTCATTTTGCTTATCTGTAAAGTAGGGAATGATTGTGTCCGCCTTTTTTTTTGTTTTTCCTTTACAGTTGTGTTGGGAAGATCAAATGAGAACATACTTTGTAAACTGTGGAGAGTAATGTAACAGAAATACTGCTTTTACACTTAATATTAGAAGATCTCTTACGCCAAGTTGTGCTGTGGTTGAGTTCAGTAGACTGTTCATTATGTGGAATTACTGTAATTTTGTGAAGTCATCAAGGATGAGCCATATTGCTTTCATACATATACTGAGTCAGCCAGTATTTAGGTATGATGTTTAGAATTCTTGAGAGATTATTTGCAAGAAAAAGGTTTCTCTAGCAGTCCTAGAAACATAAGGTTCGGTACTCTTCTAGACTATAGTTTGGATGGGGAGGCCACAGTCCATATAAGTGGTGCCATAGCCATAAGTCAGATGTACCTTTTGTACTTTCCACAGATGGATGACAATCTTCGCCAAAGCCCTCAACTTCCTCCTCGGAAACTGCCAACACTTAAATTGACTCCAGCAGAAGAAGAAAGTAATTCCTCACAACGGCTGTCACCCTGACAGTCTTCATGCTTTGTGTCCAAAGTCATATAATTGTTGCAGTAATCTCTTACAGTAAGTGTGTGAAGGCAAAAAGAAAATTCATGAATAGGTATAAGGAAGACTCTAAAACAAAAGAAACTTTCTATGACAGCAATTCTTTTTTAGTTAGGAAGCTCATGTTTTAGCTTGGCAATGCACTTTAAGTAACATCAAGGTAAATGCTAAATGAACTTGGGGAAAAAAGAAAACACGTTGTACTGTAAATAAAAAACCTGCCTTAACCTTGGCAGATTTTTGCCTTTGGTTCACATGTTGCTGGCCCAAAGCTACACTTCTGTTCTGAATGCGCACTGTTAGTTTATCCAAGTTAATTTATTAATTTAGTATCCTTATACCAGTCTAAATATCTAATATGTGGCTCTTTGGCTGAAGTCTTTTTTTCTTCTGTTTAGAAATCTGATGCCTATTTTAGATGTTAGGAAAAATACATTATTCTAATATTCTATTTACTTCAATAGAAAAGCCTGTATTTAACTTTAAAAAGCAATGAGGAATGTGTTTTTTAATTATGCTCTCATAAGTCTAATCTTTGGGGGAGTTACTACCATACATATAAATATTAAAGATGGTTATATATAATATTTGTCTGACTATATGCACTTCAATATAACAGTATTTGCTCATGTGTTCAATACAGGTTAGCAAGGGCTGTTTTAATTTATTGGAGCTTTAGACCTGTGTATTTGTAGTACATCTTTAACTCTAGTCATCTCTTTCTTGGGTTGATTTCGGGAGAGCTGAATGTGTTAGCATCGTTATTATGCCAGGCTGTAAAGTCTAACTGACACTTGCCCGGTTGTTAGACACTACTCAGGAGGAGCTTACTGCCAGAGAACTAGAAGTACCTACCGTGCACCTGGTCCAGGTTCACCATGCTTGGCTCAGACCAGTGTTCTTCCTAAGAAACATATCATGTAGTCAAAACCTTTATGACAACTAATTATTTTCCATAGAGTTAACTACAGTTGAAGGATTCAATGGAGTAATCGGAAATAGCAGATTTTAAAGAACATTTTCTATTTTTTGGTTGCTGAACTGTTCAAAGATTTCCTGTGCGGGTAATTTTACTTACAATAGAATCTTGCTTATTTTAGTGGCTGAGGTGCTTCTGCTGTCCTAAAACTACTTCTGGGGTTTTTAAAATATAGGACCATGTTTTTGATTAGTGTCTTAAAAGATTACTATGGTGCTCAGCAAATCTTGTCACATCCTGCAGAAACCCCCAGGTTAGGAAAGCAGTTTTGGACTCAAGAGACTTGTCTAATTTGAGCTGAGTGGAACTCAGCTGTGTTTGACCTGCATCCTCTCAATTTGTTCTGTATTTAGGTAGCTATTTATACAGAAGTCTTCATGTCATTGTAAATATTTTTTCTTGCAAGTTTTAATGAGAAACAGGGTAGTCTTCAAAGTCTTGTTCATCTGTTTGGATGCATTGAGAGAAACTAATGAGTTTCACATTACTTCTGCAACAGGTGGGGGAGTGTGTGTGTGTGTGTGTGTGTGTGTGTGTGTGTGTGTTACGCGTTAGTCTTCTGTTAGAGCCCGGCACTAATGAGTTTCACATTACTTCTGCAACAGGTGGGGGAGTGTGTGTGTGTGTGTGTGTGTGTGTGTGTGTGTGTGTGTGTGTGTGTGTGTGTTACGCGTTAGTCTTCTGTTAGAGCCTGGCAATCGGAAATGACCCCAGGACTCCGTTGTCCTCTAGGACGGATGTTTATTGGAGATGGGTGGTCAGCGCGTTAATCTGCTTGTGCCTTAGCCAGGGTTAGTCATTTTCGATTAGGATTTCTGCTAACACTTTCAAAAAGTATTTGAAGTGACTTACAATTGTCAGATATGTAAAACAGGACAATTAAAATTAGTTTTCGGCAAAATAAAAAATTTGTAGGAGAAAGAACTATATTAACCCTAACAGATTCTAAAATTGAGTGGTAAATTTAACTCCAGGTTTCTCCATGGGCAAAGTCAAAGGATAATACTGGGTTATGTCAAGTTTTCTGTCAATAAGGTTACTACTGTCCACGAGTAAGCAAAATGTGTTTACATTTTTATAAGAATGTGTAATATCGTATTCTTACAACACAAAGATGCAGCCAGTAAGCATACTGTAATGTTTGGTGTGTTGAAAGTTTAATAAAAAAATATCATTCTAGAATAACAAGTATCCTTTTTTAGTAGAAAGACGACTGTAAATATGATTTATTTCCTTTTGGTCATTCCTGCTTTGAACTGCCTTTAGCTGTATGCTATATAGGCCATGATGCTTCCAGACTATCTTTCCTAAGATGCAAAATATGATTTAGATAAGTGAGAATTTATATGCTGGGTTACTTAGTTGAGGTTTTTGGTATAAGCTAATGAGATGCTAGGAAGCTATCACTGAACACAAACCACTCCAGGGATCAGCCACACATATAGGAAGCTCTTGGAAAGGAATAACTGGGCAGAGAGCTTTTGAGCAACCTGTCAGGATATGCTTTGGATAAAGTTTGAGTTCGCTGAGATAAGTGGTCCACAGTCTTAAAATACTGTGAGCCACTTTCTTTTGGAAGTTATGGTGGAGGATAATATGAGAAAAGGGACTATGTTTGTGTTTATGTTTCTTGGTAGTATAGGATGAGAAAATTGGTCAGATAATTCCCATAAGATAAAGATCTTTTCATCAACAAACTGTCATCAGTTATCCATAAGACCGGCCATTCCCCTAAGACCAAAGAAACTGTAAAAGACCTTTAAGGACAGTCATTCCTACACAATGTTTTTCCCCCCTAAAAGGTTGGCACTGACAAACGAATTAAATTTCAACCTAGACATGTTTGTTTTATTTTTTGAGTGCTAGAGGATTAGAGATTTTATGTTAAATCTGAAGCATTTTGATTTCCATTTGTAATTTCTGTTCATTTAATGTGGCTAGATATATTAACTTAAAGGAATGGGGAAGCTTATTTCAATCAGAGCTAAGTTACAATTTTCAGAAGTCTGCAAAAATGGAAGAAAACTAGACATCAAAAGAGGCAGAAATTGGTAACAGTATCTCAGAAAACCAATTTTTAAAGGTAGTATCATGTGATAAAAGTGGTATTTGAAGTCAGTAGTATGTTTTCTTAGAGCCTCTTCCAGGAATAGACATTTACCATGTTATTAGATTTTTCTTAAACTGTTTACTTTTTCATAAACTGTCAAAAATTGTATCCCTCTGAAACCAAAATATAAATGCTTAAATGTAAAGACAGGAAGCTGAGGGATGGTTACATAGGATCTCTCTGTACTATTTTTGCAACTTCTTTTTGTGAGTCTATAATTATTTCAAAATAAAAGGGTTTTAAAAATAAATTCAATGAGCTTATCATTATCTAGATAAACTATGATTTAAAATTTAATGCTTTAAACATAGTATTCAGTTCCAGATTAATAAATGCATAATATAAATTAATTTATTTCATTCTTGAGTTTAAAGAAAAAGAACAACTCAGGTTTATAACAAATGATAATCTGAAGATCTGTTTTGCCTTATCAGCAAAGAAAAAACAAGAACCCCTAAAACCAAGAACCCCTTTTCCCTAGGAGATTAAAAATTCTACGGTTTTATGTTTGTAATTGTATCTTTTTTCCCTATGGTATGGTATCCTTTTATGAGGATAAAATATTTTGGGAAAAAACTCCTCCATGTCTCTGTGTGGTGATCCTTCTTTGTTTTGCAAGTGTTCTCTACACTAGGATCATGCTTTGATGAACAAAATGCAGTGTGTCTGTGTGCTTTTTGTTTTTTAAGTTCACAGGGATTTAGTGATTGACTTTGTCTTGGTTTAATTATTTATATAATTGAAATCCTGAGCAGAGCCACATATTATATTTGGGTTGTAATGACGGCCTTTTGTATATGTTGTTGGCATTTAGAATTATCTTTTGCCTTTTTTCTTGTTCAGCTCTGTGGAACTTACATTTACTTTTCAATGTTTTCATATTTCCTAAGAAATTACTAGATTTTTAAGAAGTTCGTTGTTAATTACATGAACCAAAGGCCAGTAATCCTAGTCTCAAAGGTTTAACTGAAGTTTCATTAGATCTTCAAAATGTTGATTTTCATAGAGATGTAAAGATGGAGTGCTTTGCTTTTTTTTTTTTTTAAGGGTTTTTAAAATTATTTAGCCCCAAACTCTTGTTGGGATATAATGTTTGCGAGAAGCCCAGGTTACCTCCCCTAGACTTAAAATTATTGTGATTGAGGTGGAGAGGTATCCTTGGAATCAAAAAGCATACGAAAATCATTTGTTCCAGACGGGGAGGCCAATGATTACTGATGAGAATGAACATTCTTGAACAATGATAGAAGAAAGGGTAGCTTTGAGTTGGATGTTTGTAAACAGAGAGTGGAATGTTATGATAAAAGACTATTCAGAGCAAAACAAAGTAGTTCCTTTAAAAAAATGCAGGAAAATAAGTCTTTATATCCTCATTATTATTAATTTGAAGTTATATTGTAAGATAGTTTTAAACTATAATTCAGTTCTTTGGAGAAGCATTTCAAGATATATTTTGGCAGAATATATTGTTATTATATGAATAGTGGGTTCTTTGGCTAAATAGGGAAGTGCTGGGTTAGACAAAGTTAAGTTACTGTAGGCTTCTCAGCACCTTACGTACGCTGTTGGTGGTTTCAGACTCCAAGAAGGGCCTGTATTTTATACACTATTTTCCTAATTTATTTTTATGTGGATTTTTTTTTTTTTAAGTAGGTGTCATGTGGGGTTTGTGTTCTGAGAAATACACTTAGGGAAATGCTGCCCTAAGAGTGCTTCTGCTTGTTTGTACTCATTGCAGAGGTTTCCAGTTGTTGGCTGCCCTTCTAGTGAGTGGTGATAAAATGGAAGCGACAGGTTGGGGCTCCCTAGGACCATGGAGTTGACTGAGGATTGGCTGTGGGTTTAGATAGGTTGGTTATTTAGGCACATGTGAGGCCCTTGGTCAGTCCAGCTGCTTCCCTAGAATCCCAGTTGGCTTGGAACAGCTGTACAGGAGTGTGAGCTGGTGGTTTCAGAGAACTAACCACTTGTTAGGCATCTATGAGACAGAGGGAACCAACTTGGAATTCCATTCCAAACTGTTTTTGGCTGTGCTTTAAAAGTACCAGAAAGGCGGTGAGTATTTATAGCATTAAAGTCACATACAAGCTAGTTATTATATATATATATATATATGCACATGCATACACACATAGTGTCTTAGAAAGTGTACAGTTGCTTCCGTGACAAAAGCAAAGAAAGTTTAATATTTTCAACTTCTATTACTGAAGACATGGTCTAAAAAAGGATTGTATGTTTGTGTATGCATTTTCTAGGATGAGGGTTTACAGTTTTTATTAAATTCTCAGCAAGTTTCTGTATCCCCCCAAGTTTAAGCCTCACTAGACCTTCTAATTTCAGAGGACTAAGTATATCTGATTTCATTTCAAAGTATAAAACCAGTTCACTCATCAGGCATAAGGATGCTCTTTGTTTTCTGCAGTGTATATGGTTGCATATTTGGAACTGCATGCTTTGGATGTGTATTTGTTGGAAAGCTTGCCTTTGGGTTTGAGTTGTGGTGTGGTGAACATCTGGCCATGTGCAAAGCAGTTGGATCTTTGTTCTGATTCTTTAGATCTTCTCATGCAAATTCAGAGAAATGCCTTCTAATCATTGAGTTTACATGTCCCGGATCCCTGGATGTCTAGAAACAATGGCTTGCCAGAGTTTGCGTCAGTCCTGAGGGAGTCACGCACTATAGAGGAGGCTGTGTTCGCTATTTGTTCTTTGACCTGTTGGCTGCCTCTCTTGCAGTGCTGGCGTCTTATTTCTTGGAGAAGGACGGGCGTTCTCAAGCTTTTATGTTAACTGCATAAAGATGAGCTTTATTCTTCTTCTGACTTGATGTTTTATTTTGTGAAATAGGAAATAATGTCTTTCCATTTTTCTGTTCATCGCAAAGTGGAAATTTGAGGTGTTTGTAATATAACTTTAGCTTTCTGGAAGACTGATAGCAAAGAAGACAAGTAAGAAATTTATGTATACTCATATTGGTTTTGTTCCACCAAGCTTATCTTCAAATGGTATACATTTGAAACATCTGTTCTAGTGTATAAACACTGTAGTTTTGTTATGAAGTAAACAATCTTAAAATAAGTATTGTTGGTCATAATTTCAATATTCTAGCCTTGCCTTGTGTGAATATATTTTACTCAGAGACTGTGTATAAATACCCAGAAGTGGTGATGATGATCAATGTTGTAAAGAATTTATTCTGATAAATGAGAAACTGGATATAATGTCAAAATAGCTATTTTCACAATAAAATCTCAAGTTGCTCAAATGTTTATTAATTCCTGGTTTAATGTTACTTATTCCTTCAGGTGAATATTTCATTGGGAAGAATTTTGGGGTCATTCAAAATAGTTTTGTGCTGGGACTGAGCTAGATAGAGGGTTGTTCTTTTTAAAATATCCATTCTTTCTGTGATGCATTGAGATCACTTGTACTCTTTCCAGCCTGTGCTAAAGGAGGTTAGAGGCCTGCTCCCTAGGCCATTGTGTGTGTGTAACATCAGACAGCTCACACAACTTTTCAGGACTCTAGTTAGCTTATCTCTTTGGCTTTATAAGTTTCTTAAAATTTTTTTTTTGGTCACACAATTTTCAGGACTCTAGTTAGTTTACCCCTTTGGCTTTATAAGTTTCTTTAAAATTTTCTTTTTTTCTCACCTAGAAAGTCCAGTGATGTTCCGTGTAATTGGATGGAAGGCATACACTGAGAAAAATAATGCAACTTTAGTTAGTGGGGAAGATATTCATATATTTTGCTTTTTTTTTTTTTTTTTTTTTTAATTGGGTAGCATATATGGGTATGGAGAACCCTGTTAGGGCTGTTAGTCTAGTAAGGGCAGGTTCCCTGAGGGGATGAGTATTTGTTAGTAGAGTTTATTTTTTTTAATTGAGGTATAATTTATGTATAGTAAAATGCATCAACCTTCCAAGTAGAGCTGTTCAGGTATGTATTTCTCTCACATGAGAAGCCAGCTACATCTTTGTTGATACTTCTATCGCCAAAGAATACAAATCTTAATTGCGTATGAACTTTGGGTTTCAGATGAAATGCCCTTGGGTGGATTGAGGTGGTAATGATCACTTACTTCTTGCAAGAGAGCAGGAAAGAAGAGTTGGTGGTGGTGGGATAATAGAATTCTTTTGGGGAAAGACAACTGTTGGATTGGCTAAAAAGTTCATTCGGGTTTTTCCGTAAGATGGTATTTGGAGTCACAAAGCTGAGAACCTTTCAACAAACACCTTCAGAATTTTTCGTTCTTAATTGCTCAGCTTAGAGGCTTGACTTTGGTCTGGGACTATTTGGGGTGCTCAAAAGCTCCTGAATATTTAGTATGATGTCCTTTGGTGAACAGTAGGCTGCAACGTAGGTGGTGCTCTGTTTTTCTTTTGCCATTAATAGCAGCCATTGGTAGGAAAACTTTTAAGTTTTCCGTATGGGGATCTTGTCCTAAGTGAATCTCCATAGGAGAAAGATTGAAATAAAGGGGAAACCACTAAGATCACTGTGGACTGCGCGTATGTTTGAGACAGGTATATATGAGAACAAGAAGGAAATGGTGGTGGAGAATGTAAGAATTTGTCTTACTCCATCTTGTAATTAAGTTCCTAGTTGTAAAGCAAAGGAGATACACATCCCTTCTTGATCTGACAAGAAGTTCAGGAGAAACGATGAGAAAACATGGCACATTTCTCCAGGTACATTAGTCAGCCTCCTGGAATGCTTTAGACGTCTATGATTACGAAATGAAGACAGCTGTGCATCGTCAAAGACGTTGCTAATTTCTAACACAGACAACTCGCTCCAAAAGTTGTACTTTTCCAAGTAAGAGAGGGGCTATTATATTTATCCTGCTTTTTGAGTAAGCGAGTGAAAATAGGGAAATCTTGACATTTATAAATAAAATTAGGGATTGGTTTTTTTTTTTTTTTTTGCGGTACGCGGGCCTCTCACTGCTGCGGCCTCTCCCGTTGCGGAGCAACAGGCTCCGGACGCGCAGGCTCAGCGGCCATGGCTCACGGGCACAGCCGCTCCGCGGCATGTGGGATCCTCCCGGACCCGGGCACGAACCCGTGTCCGCTGCATCGGCAGGCGGACTCTCAACCACTGCATCACCAGGGAAGCCCAGGGATTGGTTTTTCAGATCCGAGTTTCGGGCAGGTGGTCGTCTCAAGAATTCACATTTTGAAAAACTTAAGAAATCTTTTGGTGTAGAAGGAAGCATGACGCTTTCCAAATATCACAGTTAAGACCAAACAGATTTCAGTTTTATTTTAAATGCAAGAAGCAAACTGACTTATTTGAAGACTGTCAGATTGTGCCTATTCTGATATGTGTTGTCCCAGTTCTGTCTATGAGGGGGGAATTGTCATTTTCATCTAATGAGCATGGTTTACGTTTTGTATTACATATAATATGCAGTTCACAGAGTGACTGCTGCTAAAATGGTTTAGAAAAAGGTGGGAAGGGATATAGTAGATGTAGAAATTAAAAGGAAAAAGAACCAAAGAGAAAGGAACTCTAAATATGTAATTGGGGCTGTGGCGAGGAAGAGGAATGGAATGTAGAAAGACAGTGGATTTTAGAGTTAGAAAGCCTGGCTTAACACAGCGCACCAAACTGGTGATTTTAAGCAAGTCACTTGATTCTTAGTCTGCATTACTATTCGTTGCAATGCAATGGAATAATTGAATCTGGATGTATGAACATTTTTATGTGTTTGTTTTTTTTAAAAAAAATCATTAAAATTTAGACACTACCAATAGGAAGAGCCCCATCCCACCCCTTATGAATAACCTCTGTTAACTTATTGGTATCTAGTCTTTCAGTCTTCTGTTTTCTACACACACACACACACACACACACACACACAATTCTGTATATATTGTAATCCTATATAGTATGTACTATTCTGTAATATGCTTTTTCACTTAGTGTTCAGAAAATCTTGTAGGTCACTACATATTCTACATGATTTTTAAAGGCTGTGTGCAATTTCAGTGCATGATGTTACATTGTTTATTTCATTCCTTTGCAATGGACATTAGGGTAAATTCCTCTTGTAATGGTCTTTGTTATATGTTATTAAGTTGTTTCTCAGGAAGATGCACCACTTTATATTCTCCAATGCCCTGTGTAGGAGAGCCTGTTTTACTACAACCCCATGAACTTTGAGTTCTTTATCTCATCACTAATCTAAAAGGTAAAAAATAGTTTATTTATTTATTTAATATGTATTTCTTTGATAACTAGTAAGGGTGAATATTTTCCCCATATGTCTACAGTCCATTTGTGTTTCTTCTGTAAGTTGTCTATTCATATTCTGCATAAAAGGAAAATTACTTAACTTCTCTGAAACCCTGTCTCCTCTGCTGTAAGAGGGGGTTTCCATGTGGTCTAAATGGAATAACACATTGCAGATCCAGAATATGGCAGGCATGCAACAGTATTGTTTTCCTTCGTGTTATTTCCTGGATTAAGAGCTCCCAGAGGATGGAGACTCTTTATTTATCCCAGCACCTAGTACAGTGCTTGGAACAGAGAAGAAGCTCAAAAAGTTTTTGAGGAAGGAGGAATAGCTGGGATTCGAAAATATTTTGAGTATATCAGGAAAAGGAGTGAGAAAAGTTGAAGCCGAGATCCAATGAATAAGCAGTGAGAAAACTGGTGGGTTCCTTATAAGCTTATTATTCAAATGGAAGAATTTAGGTTTTATTCTCAAAGCTCCACAAGAAACAATTTCTTACAAAGTGGCTAAAGGACGTTAAATATTTGTATTCAAGGCCATAAGTAGCCTTGAGAAGTTGAGTTATTATTTTGTAAGCTAATGAGTACATATTTTAAGTACACTAAGAAAGGTGACTAATTAAAGGAATTAATAATTAAAATTTCTGAAAAGTGAATAATTAAAAAAATGATTAATTCTAATTTCCATATATTAGATTTGCCTAGACTAGGAGTAAACATGCAATAATAATATAATCATATTTTAAAATGGTAATAAGTTAAAGTAACCCAGAGTTGTGGTGCCTCGAAAGGAAGGAAGAGAATTGGTGTCAGGTCTTGTTTTATCCAACATGCCCTGGGATAATGGGGGAGAGAGTCAGTGATTCGTTAATGAGAGTTGCAGATGGCTCTAAATTGAGAAGTATTGTAAACAGCAGGAATGACTGAGAAATGATACAAAAGGAGCCGGAAATGTTAGGAACATGGACAGGAAATCAAATGATTCAGCCTGGAGTAATGCAAGCCAGTCTGACATCTGGGGCCAAATAAGAAGAAATAGAGATATTCCATGAAAGAGACAAACATGAAAAACAGTCACATCTCAAAGGAGATTGTGGGTGTGGGGAGGGAGTAGAGGAAAACAAGAGAATTAAGAAGCAGGAACTAATGATATGTGCCCAGTACTATGATTTGGTACTTTCCGTGTTGATTTCTTTTTGACTGAGGTTAAAGCAATTTAGTGCTATGTAAGAAATAGAGTTTTTGAGGATTGACTCAGTACCTAGTGAAACAAAAGCTCAGCCTGTCTTTTAGTTGATCCTAATGATTGTTAGAGTGTTATCAGTATAGAGAGCATTGTGGAAGTGGCTGGAATCTTCAGAAAAGCTCTAGTAGGATAGATCACCTGCCATACTCCTACCTGGCATCTCTCATTCAGTGGGTGTTGCCAGGAACTCTTGGAGCAGCTCCCTCCAGGCTATCCTAGTTGCCAGCAGCATGAGAGGGCCTTACAAAACCTTTGGTGGGTTAGTACAGGGTCCAGCTTAAGCAAAAATAAGATGTGAGTTTCACAATGGCTGCTCCATGAGGCAGTCTGTTCCTTCCAGCATTTCTTAGTATCCCTTATCCTTCTCTCTTGCTATAAAAGTCTAGTGATCATTTGTATTTTCTCTAGATGTCAATAAACTAAAGTCAGATTTATTGGCAATATTGGCCCACTTTAGGAATCTCCAACTCTTTTTTTTTTTTTTTAATAGAGCCACCACTTCTCATATTTTCAGTTACAAGGGCTTTAGGAATTGGGTCACAGTGAGGACCTCGTGGAGATGAAGAGGAAGAGGACCAAATTATTCTAGGGAGGACAAACCCCTAAGAGGTGATGCTTACTGTATCTGTTCCCCATCCCGAGGAGAAGACCAGAACATTGGTGCAAAGAGTATGCTGAAGGAGTGAGCTGGAAAGGAGAGGTGTCAAAGACCTATCGCTTGTAGTTCCAGTTGTAGCTTGTAATGTATGTTAATGGCTCAAATTGGAAGCTTGAAGCTG